GCAGACTGATGAATGTTTTCTTCTTTATTTGATGAGGTGTTACTGACATGTTAAATATTGAAAAGCCCTGTTGTAAAACTTTTTCAGCCATTGAAACTTCTTCGAAGGTAATCTTGAAATCATGAGTGTAGTCTTTTATCTTGATGGCTTCCTCGATCTTCATCCAACTGTTTTGGCGTTCCAGTTCATCTTTCAGATCTTCAGATGTCTTCCTCCCGATCTCTTGGTCGACTTGACGAACGAAAACTGATCTTTTTTCTTTGTGATTTGGTGGCATGACAACAACAAGTCCTTCATTGTAAAATACATCTCTGGCTTCCTTTGAAAGGATTTTGTCTGAGTCAAAGTCATCTTTACAGATTACTTTGAAACCTTCGTTGGTGCTAAATATTCTTGTTTGTGGGACTTGCAATTTGTTGTAAGTGATTTCTGCCACTTTTCCTCTTCCAATAGAGTGTCCCATATCTCTATGTTTTATTCTAATGCTTGTAGTCATCTTCCTTGATTACAGCCCAATCCTACCTATAACACAGGGCTCCTGCCTGGGAGCAGTGACCCCGCCCCCCCCTCTTGGACGGGCGTCGGGCTCGAAGGGTTCTGCGCCCAGGTTACCTGTGACTATAGTTATGTCTAAAAAGTTGCCACCTACCGGTGACCCCCGGACAAGGGGTGCCCTGCACTATCACAGGTTCCCTTGCCGGATCGACCGTATCGCTAAGTCCCGCCTCCCGTTCAAGGAACGGAGTGCATGAGGGGGATGAAAAAAGGAAAGAAGAGGACTTAGAGAGTAGAGACAGTCTACCTACCACGCCATGTTCGGTTAGCCAATCAGAGCACCGCAGTAAACGTGCATGTATCACGCCACCGTGGGGCACCACTGATTGGCCAATCCACGACGTAGACGCACGGGTAGTAGTCAAAATTTGGGGAGCCCAAATATATGTTTTTCAGAAGTTGGAATGTTTCGTACAATCTGAGATGGTAATTGCACCGTCGCTATGTTGGGTAAGTACAATCACTAGGATTGAGTGTCCTATCACAACAAAGTTGCAGACTGCTCAAACATACAGCAGAAGAGGCAAGTCTTCACAGCTCCAGGTCCAGCAGTCAGAGGTAGGTCACGGCCACGTGAGGTCTTATATAGCGGGGGTAGGTGTGGCTTGATAGTTGACCTCCGCTATGAAAGGCGGTGCTGGTTGCCGACCTAGACCACGAGGCCCAGGCTGGGGAATTCGAAGAGGGTCGGCTACTCAGCGACAAACGGCGTTTGTAGGGGAGGAATCCACTACACCACGACTGAGCCACGACTGGAGAAACTTACCAGCCAGATCCAGGCTCAAGACTCCCATTAGATGAGATTACCCAACTCTGATTTCCAGGTTGATTAGAGACATTTTCATTTTTAGTTAGTTTTTGTGGGATGTGACAAAACAATAGTATTTCATCTCGACATTGAAGTACATGTTTCGTTAAGATTAAGCCTTGTAGTGGATTTCTCCCCTACAAACGCTGTTTGTCGCTGAGTAGCCGACCCCACCAATTCCCCAGTGTATGCCTCGTGGTCTAGGTCAACCAGCGCCGCCATACATCACGGAGCGGGGGTCAACTACTAAGCCACGCCAACCCCGCTATTTAAGACCTGACCTCGTCGTGATCGCTCTCTTTCTACCTACACCGAGACGGGTGCCTCCGTTATTTAAATACCCTGCTCGTCTCTACCAATATGCACTAATACGCATGCGCTTCTAGTGGATTCGCGGACACTTCCACAACTTGCCTGAAGCTGTCTGAAGCTTCCATACACATCGACACATAGAGGGCAGGGATTTATAGGACCAACTCACACATACAAGTACCAACTAAAAAGTAGACGCGAACACTAATAGCCTAACCGTAATACATCTAAAAGAGTGAGCGAAAACTATAGCCTACTCCACCGGCACAATATTATGTTGTGTGTTTTAGGTTACTGGCGTATCAGCGAAATGAAAGTTTTGGTAATGTTGCTGCTGATGTACTAAGTTCTTCTCCCAAGGCTAGAAGTTCTCCCAAGGCTTCTCGACCCTCCAGTCAACCCTCAGCGACCCCCTGGGTGGTCGCGACCCACAGGTTGAGAACCCCTGCCTGAGTGAGTCTACGCCTCTCGAGGGAGTGCAAATTAAGATGCTTTAGTTTGTCTCTGTACTCAAAGTTCCTAATGCCTAGAATTAATCTTGTCATCCTCCTCTGAATGCTTTATAGGGATTCTATATCCATTCTGTAGTACAGTGACCAGAACTAAACCGCAAAATTTAAGTGAGGTCTCACAAGGGTAAGATTTAATTTTAGGATAACTTTGCTCGTCTTGGAACTAACACTCCTCTGTAATAATGTAGCAGACGCCTTGTCTCACATTCCAGCTAGTCATGCGTCAGCCTAAGGGATGACTTAGGCCTATTTTGGGGAGGGGGTGTTACATATGTCCATGTATTTACATAATCATTAAGATGTGTACTGTATATTCTTTTTCTATCAGTCATCGTTCCAAGTGCGGTTTTCTATGAAAGACAAGGAGATATAAGAGATGTATGTCCTTTGTAATAATTAGTTTATTTTTTGCATTGGCTATGATTCATATTTGTTCAATGTAATTTCTAATATTTTGTAATCATATAATATTATGTACTTATATGGAGAAGTTTTGAGTCAATATTCTAATTGTAAAAGATGTATTGTTTGTTTATGTTTAGGAGCTGCCTTCCTCCATGGGTGAATACAGTAAGGGGTGTGGATGTGAGACCAGGAAAGTGATTGTAATCGTGTTTTATCCATTGTGTATCCTACACTTATGTATTGATTTACTCACAGTCATTTGGGGTGAATACTAGGTGATACTTTTGTGAATGGAGGAAGAGCCATTTTATGGGATTAAGATAGATAAATTACTAAATCAGTTGGGTCACAAGGCCATGCAGTGATAATGTCTGTACTCTTGTTTATTGTAAATACAATATTTATTAATTGTTATAAGCTGGTATTACTTACAATCGTGATTATGCAATTTAATGATGTATTCTCACAGTGTAATTATATCAAATGTCATCCTCAATTTTCTGTTGGAGGTAGCAAAGTATTGTCTAAGTGATTCTGGTCTGTTAACCAAAGCTGTTATTTCAGAACGTAAGTCTGATTAGTGGGCCTAGGGGTTGGAGCACTGCTGAAAGAGGAGGATTATTCAGAAGTGGCCATGACAAGTACCAAGACTGAAGTCCTTGGTATAGCTACATGCCTCCTTAAAGGATACACAGGAGGTTCTTTTCCGAAGGTATCCATGAATGCATCTTAAGATATCATCTTTAATGCCGAATTCAACTGGCTGATCAAGCCTAATATCTCTATTTGCAACAGTAAAGGTGATGTGTACTCTGTTGTGGTAGAAAATCATACAAAGAGAATGCGTTCCATCACCTTGCTAAAGCAAGAGGTGAGGAAAATGGGTCTGAATTTGGCAGTGCCACATTTTGGAATGGCTACTATTGTGCTGGAGGTTCAGGCATTGGGAACATATCCCGTGCAGAGACAGAGATTGTGAAACAGGAGAAGGTGGTTGCCAGGGACTTTCAGGAGCAATCAGAGAACTGAGTAAGTGACA